GTCTAGGCTGATGGTAACAGGAGACGAGGGACACGATGTTTTTACCCAGGTTCGGGCCCTCTTGATGGAGGTAAAACCCTACGTCCTGCTTGATTAATATTGATGATGTGGGTTACAAGAGTAGATCTACCACGAGATCAAGGAGGCTAAACCCTAGAAGCTAGCCTATGGTATGATTGTTGTTCGTCCTATGGACTAAAGCCATCCGGTTTATATAGACACCGGAGAGGGCTAGGGTTACACAGAGTCGGTTACAATGGTAGGAGATCTACATATCCATATCGCCAAGCTTGCCTTCCACGCCAAGGAAAGTCCCATCCGGACACGGGACGAAGTCTTTAATCTTGTATCTTCATAGTCTTGGAGTCCGGCCGATGATGGTAGTTCGGCTATCCGGACACCCCCTAGTCCGGGACTCCCTCAGAGACCTTCTCGCCGAGGTCACGGAGCTCGTCAACAAGCTTCTTGAGGCGCATGCAATAATCGTCAACAGACGAGTTGAGCTGCTGGCACCCAAAAAACTTGTGTTGGAGCGCGTTGTCGGTGAAGAGGCCGTTAAGCTTACTCCAAACGGCGTGAGCGTCATCGTCGGCGGAGACCATCGTGTGGAAGAGGTCCTTCGAGATGGTGGTGTAGAACTAGTCCTGGCCATGGCTTGGGCCTAGAAAACAGGCCCGGCGGCCGGGCCGGGCCGGGCTCGGGCCTGGGTTTTTTCCATCGGGCTTGTCTAGGCCCGGCCCGAAGCCCGGCCCGGCCCGAAGCCCGACCCGGCCCGAGGTATGGCCAGGTATATGTAGAACCAACGGATAAGAGTGGCGTCGATGGACGTCCACTCCTCATCGTCCTCCATGAAGCAGGAGTCCACGGAGCCATCGATGTGATCCCAGAGATTGTACTCACGTAACATGAGGGAGAAGTACGTCTTCCAGGCATAGTAAGTGGAGGTGAGGTGATCGAGGACGACGGGAACCCGAGCGAGGATGTTGAGATCGCGGATGACGACGGGATCGGGGCCTTCGAACAGGTTGGTGCGGCGGCTGCGGGTGGTACCGGTGGAACCGTAGGAGGCCATGGCCAAGAGGGGGGTGCGGCGGCGTGTGGTGAGACGGCGCGGCAAGGGAGATGGCGGCGCTGCGGGGGCGGGCGGAAGCGTGGGCGGCGGCGCGGCGGCGGCGGCGGCGATGGGATCGTTGCGGCGGCGGCAGCGGCAACGGCAAGTGTTAGGGCTAGGATCGCAGGTATGATACCATGTTGGAAACGAATGTTTTGGCGATGCTTCATGATGTATTGATCGGTGCAAAACGCACGTATATATGGAGTAGAAGGTGGGTCGCAACCTCAACTATACAATGACTAGGAAGTGGGCCAGGCTATACAATATACATGCATAAACCATATATTCAACAAAGTTTACAAAAGGAAGTGATGATCTAGAACCAGTTAAAAGAAAAATAGTTAAATTTTAGGGATCAGTTAGAATGCAAGTTTACTCTTAATGAGTGTACTAGATCATCGATGGCGCGCGTTGCCGCGCCCGTCTATTTTAAATTTTTCTATAAGATGTGAATCCATGTAAGACAACTTCTGAAAAAGGATAATAGACTCAAATAAACTGTATCACGAAAGTTTTTGTTTTCTTTTGAAATAACAGAGCAACAGATCTTTCACTCGGTGACTCGGTGAACGAATGGCAACAATAACCTTAAACACCGACAGGCAGCTGGCATACTTGCTGTTTTGCACCCAACTATAAGGATGAATAAACAAAAAATGGAATAGCTACTGTAAGGATGCAAGTAAATCTTCATAATCTACTGGCTTTGCATACATGATATTCTCTGAAAACAGGTCCTCTGTTGCACAGCCTCCGAAATGATTAGACCATGTTTTTAGCACAAACACGGTAAAAAAAATCTTATACTATTGAGATCTCAAGCATGTTTTTTTTTTTTGCAAGACCTATTC